TTCAAGCTCACCAGCCTCCTTGGAAACCTTTTATAGGGTTCTAGAATTGCTGCTTTTGAATTATGGTGTTGGAGGAGAATATTAAAAGTGCCATGGACTGCCAAAAGAACCAATAGATCCATTTTGTAGAAAGTGCAACCACAGTGCTCCTTGGAGGCCAAGATGGCCAAACGTCGTCTCTCATACTTTGGACCTATTGTCAGAAGGAACCAGTCGCTGGAAAAGGATATCATGTTTGGTAAGGTGGAGGGTCAGAGAAGGAGAGGAAGTCCCCCAACGAGATGGACTGGCCAAGTGGCAGCATCGATGGACAACAGTAGTGAGGTTGGCCCAGGATCGGGCAGAGTTTCATTCTGATGCGCATAAGGTCGCTATGGGTCAGTACCAACTCTATGGCACCTAACAACAACAACAACATAAACCAAGAAATAGTGATTTGAACAGAACAAGGGGATACTGCCCGGTTTAATATAAACAAAGGTGGTTGCCAGGGTTGTATCCTTTCACCATACATATTCAATTTGTATGCTGAGCAAAATAATCCACAAAGCTTGACTATATGAAGAAAAACACAGTATTACTATTGTAGGAAGACTCACAACCTTCAATATGCAGATGACACAATCTTGCCTGCTGAACACAAAGAGAAGGTGAAGCACTTACTGATGAAGATCAAAGACGACAGCCTTTAGGATGGATTACAATTCAACAGAATTTATTTATTAATCCTCACAACTGGCCCCATGCACAACATAATCAATGGAGCAAATACTGAATTCATTCCAGGTGGATCCACAACCAATGCTCCTGGGAGTCAAGACATCATACAACATACTGCATTTGGCACATCTGCTGTAAAAGACCTCTTTAAAGTGTTAAAGGGCCAAGATGAAACTTTGAGGACTAAGGAGCACTTGACTCAAGCTATGGTGTTTTTCATCACCTCAGATCCATGTGAAATTTGGACAATGAATAAGGAAGACCAAAAAAGAATTGATGTCCGAGAAAAAGAGGACACGAGATGTATGGACACAGCGGCAGCAGCTATGGGTTCAAACATAAACCAGTGAGGACGGTATGGGATTGGGCAGTGGTTCATTCTGTTGGACACGAGGTCACTATGAGATGTAACTCATAAACCAGTGAGGACGGTGTGGGACTGGGCAGTGGTTCATTCTGTTGGACACAGGGTCACTATCAACAATAGTGAGGGACTACTGGATAATTTCAAGCAAGTGGCAGAAAACTTGGTGCAGAGCAGTGAATTACTTAACTGTGTCTCTTCTAGCACATCTTTGTAACTCCCACCAAACAACTTTTTCCTGAAGGGTCTGGGCAAGAGAAGATGGGGGAAGATGCTGATAGGATTCTACGGTACAGTTGTAAGCGACTGTTAACAGGGTGAACTGGGATTGGAAAACCCTGGAAATCTAACCAAGGGCTTGGTCAATTTTACCATCCTGCTGGGTACAACACGAGCCACCTTGGTGATGTGAGTAGGTTGCTCCTTTAATAGACTAACCTCGCTTTCTGACATCGGCCCTTGGGACTTGAGCCAGCAAGCAGTCTGACCTGATTCACCAGCTTCCACATTCTGAGAGTTCACAATCCGATTCTGCATGAGAATCCTCCAGACAGATATCTGAACTGAAGATTTGGGACTTGCACACGAGTTCTCTAAGATGCTGCATGAATTGTGGATTCCTGGAAAATGAGGTAGGATACTGAGGCAAGAAGTCGTAGTCGGTATCAGGGATTATGGCATGGTAATGCACTGGGCCCTTGACAAGGTCTCTTTGAACTGCAAGGTCAGTGGTTCGATTCCACCAGCCGCACCTTGAAAGCCTTATAGAGTCGCTATGAATCAGCAACCCGACAGCAGCTAACAACAAAAACAGCACTTTAGGAAAGTGTGACATTTGTGATGTCTTTAACCTCCACCTCATGGGGATCTTGTGCTGATCATGTGTACTAACTTTGTTAGAAAGGGCATGAGCTCCTCATTTGGAGTCTGCGCTATGACGAGGTTGGGGAAAGGAGGAGCTCGGTAAGAAGGAATGGCTTCGGGACTGCTGAGACTTTTCATTCAGGCATGAAGGTGAACTGATCGTGAAATGAACAGGGTTACTATTTAGAAGTTAGTAATGTTTGAAAATAACTGATTGGCTTTGCTAAAAGGGGAGCTAGAATTTGTCCAGTAGAAGGGGTTCCCCATTTTCCTGTAGAAGAAAACAGGAGTTCTCCCAGTAACCCCTGAACAGTGAGCAAGGGGCTAAGTGGTGGGAAGTCACATGCTCCTGTAATGGTTCCTACAGGAAAAGCTGTTGACATTAGGGTTAGCCCTTTCTCATGGGAACTGTTTCCACTTAGAAGGGACATGAGGGGCCTTCCCAAGCGTTTGCTGAAAGGGGACCTATGCCCACCAGTCAAGGGTTGGAATTTGAGTTCTTGCTCTGCCTCAGCACCAGTGACAGCCTCAGTCTCCAAGAGAACCCAGAAGGCAGCCAAAGTCTGGCATTATAAAGGTGTGTGTTGGGCTCCCAGAAGGGCGAGTGCTTAGTTCAGAACTCCATGGGCAGCCAACTAGTAACAAGTTTCATCTGGAGAGAACCGCTGTCCGTGGTACTGAAGTCGGATCTGGGGGTCTGCAGGCACACCTGCGGGGCTAAGTGCAAAGTCATTTGTTGATGTTCTTCCCAGGGAAATGAGGCAGACATACATGTTACAGCATACATGGGTCTGAATATGAGTGACAGATGTGGTACATGTTGGAACAAAGAGGAGGCTTAACCGCTGCTGTGCTTGGCACATAATGGTGGCTGCTGTATGAATACAGTTGGTATTCGACAGTGGAATTTCCAGTCCCATGGTGGTAGTGGTGCCGTGGAGTCAGTTCCAACTCATAGCCACCCCATATGGGGTTTCCGAGGCTGTAAATCTTATAGGAGCAGATAACCTTATCTTCTTCCTGTGGAACAGCTGGTAGTTCTGAAGTACTGACCTTGGGGTTAGTTCTTGTTGTTGTTAGGTGTCATCGAGTCGGTACCAACTCATAGCGACCTTATGCACAGCAGAATGAAACACTGCCCAATCCTGGGCCAACCTCACTACTGTTGCCACACTTGAGTCCATCGATGCTGCCATTTGGCCAATATATTCGTTGGGGGTTTCCTCTTTTTCTCTGACCCTCCACCTTACCAAACATGATCTTCTTTCTCCAGTGACTGGTTGAGGTTAGTAGCCTGACTCATAACCACTACACTACCAGAGCTCCTTTCTGGTCCCATGGACGATTGTATAAGGAGACGTGGCAGTGTCGTGGGTTACGTGTTGTGCTGCTAACTGCAAGGCCATCGGGTCCAATACACCAGTCGCTTGTAAGGATTTACAGTCTCAGAAACCCTACATGGGGTCACTACAGGATGGACCTGACTCAATGGCACATTAGCAGCAGTAGATGACCATATAATGACAAGAAATCTAAGAGCTGGTTAGACCTTGTTTCTAACAGGGGGCAACAGCCCATCCCCTAATTTCAAGTATAAGAACTGAATAGA